TACTACAAAGATTTATAATCAATTAAAATATTGATTGACAAAATAGAATAAACATTATTAAATTAGATTCAAATGATGATTTAATATAAGTAATAATTTTTAAATGTTGCTCAAATTTTTATTGCATTATAACTATACGATTAGAATTGTTAAAATGAGTCTTTATTCTTGAATAGCTGTGTTCAACTCCTCAAGCAAACAACCGAACAAATGCACACTTTTTGAGTACGAGCTGAGCTCGCCCGTGTTCGGCTCGTTTACACCATCTCTACATAGCACGTCCAGCCGAACAGCCTCTACCTCGCCCATGCTCAGTTGCCCGGGAATCGAGCAGGTATGCATTCTTTATTCATCTCGCTTCCTCTCCATGTTGATTTGCCTTCTATTCTCTGCGATTTAGATCATGTTTGTTGTTGTAGAAGTCAGTATGGATCGCTTATCCTCCCTATCTTATTGTCAACAGATCTAAAAAATTAGGGTTTATATTTGTTTCTTCATTAAAAGCACGTCAAATGAAATGTCTTCGAGAAAGAGGGCGCATTCTTCCCCAATTTTATTTGGTGGATCATTTAGAAGCAAACATGAAGGTTAATTTTAACCGTTTTGACTTGTATTTTGTTGATATCAATTCAGTGGAACACGATGAATTTAGCTGCTATTTTATTGGATACCCCCACAGCCCACTTGTCGGTAGCCATCGAAGATACTTCTAAGCCCACTTCTGGGTAAATTTCCCAAAATAGTTTTTTGCGGTTATTTTTTTCCTGTACTTCGATGATGATATTCTCATTTATTTTGTTTTAGCTCATTTGACCGCTCCCAAAAGCAGGTATGGTTAGATGTTGTCTTTCTAGTTTCAGAGTATATCACTAACATGAGAATTTGGGCAGGTTTTAGAAAGTTTTTATCTACTTCTTGTTATGCATGTTAAAATACAGAATATTTCCCTTTTTTTGGGTTTAGAGATTGAATGAGGGTTCCTTGGAAGGTTATAATATCAACATATGGCTTGTTGAATCACCATTTCTATGGGCATGTCTAGTAACGGATTTAGGGTCTGTTTGGGGCAGCTACAGCTTAATAATAAGTTACTACGCTATAGCTGTCACAGGAAGCTATTGCGGATAAACTGTTGTTTGTTTGTTTTTTGCAGTTAGAAAACAACTGTGTTGTAATATCTAGACAAATGATCATTCTGCTCTTGTATAGTAATATTGTTTGGAACAGAATTATTCATATCAATACATTTTATACTTTTAAAAAAAACTCAATACAAAATATTATAAAATAAAGATAAACACATCTCTTAATATTAAGTAGCGTAATTACTAAAATTAAGATAAAGATTATTAAAATAACAATTAATTATATACTAATATTATTTTTAAAATGCAGACGATATATGTCACGAACTAAGCCGTTTTCCAAAGATGCTCTCCATGCATGATCACTTTCGACGGTGAAATCTTCCAGCTTATCTGTCTATCAAAAATAGTTGCAATTTTTCTTGATTCTTTTTGGACACCTGTAAAACTCTCGTAGCAATGTGGCTAACATGAAGTTAATAGAAAACTTTGAAGTCTTTATTAACTGTGCATTCCTTGGGAAGTACCAGAAATCCTAGAACTTATCTTCCTAAATGTTTTTGAAAACATCTCATTAGACATATCACAAGTAAAATTTGATAACAGAATAAATTAATGATAGTTTTATGCAGCTTTGAGGTATCAGAGAATTCAGTGTATAAACCAACGAATCTGTTACTACAAAAAGACAACAAACCTTATAAAAGGTTTTTGGTTGTCTTTAACTCACGTAATACTGAGCTCGTGCGTCACATATGCATATCACCAAAAAAGAAAATCAGAAGAACATAAAAAATCATAACATCGAAAAAAAGATATGAGTTTGGTTGCATTCATTAGAATTTTACATGTGACACCAAATAATAGCGACAAACAAGTTATCCAGAACAACCCATAAAGTCAAACGTCTCATCATAGACCTTCAGAACCCATCAAAAGAAAAATAAAATAAATGCAAAAGAAAAAAATACACTTATAAATAACGTAAAAAACGAAAACAATAAGTATCAAATACACAAAGAACACAAATAAACATAAACTGTATAAAATACTCATACAATAAATAGTGAATATCTCAATTATTATTACAATTAATGTGATAAAAACTCCAGCAATCATCCAACTATCGCATCCGTAATTCGTTCCCTCAAATTTGTCATCTCACTTGCACCTTCTCATCTTAGTATACGTATCGGGAAGACAAAAACTGTACAAGATAATACTCATATATCTCGACAATGATATGTTCATGATCCTCGTCCGCCCTACGAAAGTTGATGTCTTTGCGAGAAGGATGTCGCCGAATATAATTGTGAAGTCATTGTGACAATCACAATCTGCATATTTTTGAGAAACGGGTAAGATCATGAAGTATAACTTATTTCTTATTCAAAATACCAAGTCCCCTCAATAATATCGCGCAAGGATAAATGTATTTTGTTGAACATTTCTTTCATATCCCGCGCGAAATTATTGACTCACTCAAAATTATGTATGTGGTATCTCGTATCAGGTAGAGCTTGTGATACCCTTGTTGTAACGGATTTTCAATATCGACAAAATATTATTTACCTGATGTGAATTGAATAAATAGTGTTGAAGAAAAAAAATAATTACGAGAGTAGCTTAGTCGAGCAAACTTGTGGTTGGATGTGAGAAGTTATATTTGTTATTCAATGTTGCAGATTTGAAAATTTGACTGTCATGTGCATTGTCCTCCCAACCGGTCATTACAAAAGTGAAACACATATTGAAGTCACATACTACCATGACATTCTGCGTAGGGGACCCACAACAGCCAATGAATGCAGACTTTTCGTTATTTGAACACGTGCATTAATGCGTGTTTTATCAATTGTTTTGATACAATTTTAGAAAGATAACGAAGGGTTACGTAATTACGATATTTATATGAAAATTGAATGTAATAAATAGGAGAAATTACCTCAAAGTGTGATATATACCGTATATCGTGTGAAATCTCTGTGTATGTCCGTTCAAATGTGGGATCTATTGGTTTAATGACTTGTGAAGAAAAACTTACAAGTATATTTAACCATACTGAGAAGTAGCTGCAATTCATTTCGAAAGAGTATTGAAATCGCTACATAGCTCATTGCATTAATTCATTTTGCGATAATTTGTAGTTGGTTACTGTCAATTTCTCTCATGAAGTTGTTCTGGATGAGTCATCAAGTTCATGATTTCTGTGTACCGTTTGTGTCATGCGGAACATATTACTAAATCTCATTGGGTGACCCGCAAGCAACTCCACAACTCATTTTTCCTCTAACATATGAAAATTTCATGCAAGTGGAGCGCTTTTTGTACGAGTTATAATATTCGTACATCAAGCATACAACAACTGCAACTCTCATTTTGCGTCTTTCTCTAGTTGCATGTATGCATTTCAGTATCGAAGTGACTAACACATATGCATCAATGAATTAGCTACAATCATATAAGGTTACAAACAAAACCAACATAAACAAATAACATTACAAAAGTAAATAGGAAACATAAAGATGAATGAAATACTCTCAAGTAAAGCGACATGTCCAAAGCAGTTTAAATGTCCAAAACACCATGAAAAACTGTAAAAAAAAATGTAAATGTCCGACGAGAATCTAATTAAAAAAATATCCCTCAAATTTCACTGCTTCCATAGAAATAACGTAAGCCATCACACGGTCAGCGGACATCGCTATGAAAAACTCTCTCCTAGTCGAATCTTCAAGTAACTTCTTAGAGAACAAATAGAGCGGTATGTCCTTCGAAATTTCTGGAGTTGCATCCAAAATTCACATAATCTGCTGGACAAAAGTTGCTTGTGAAGGGTCATTGGTCATGAAGCCACAAATTGTGATATTCGGCTTCCACCAACACATCCTCTATCACAAACACAACCGCACACCAACTACCCCCTCCGCAACACCACCCACACGTTCACTAACACGGACACAAACACACACCATCCACCACCTCCACAACATCATCACCTCTCCACATCCATCAACACATCCTCTATCACAAACACAACCACACATCAACAACCACAACACTATCACCTCTACACATCCACCAGCACATCTTTTAACACAAACACAACAACACACCAACCATCACCTTCGCAACACCACCGCCTCCACAACACGAGCACCAACACATCCTTTAATATAAACATAATCACACATCAATCACCATCTCCACAACACCGCCTCCAACATAAATCAACGTAAACCACACCAAACATCTAAGGTAAATATAAAGGCCCATTTCATATTTTTCATTTTTAGGATGCCACATATAGGGCACTCGAAACATTGCTAACAACAAATCAAGCACCCTTTTCAACCATTTCTCACTTCACTCAAACATTAAAGGTAAAGAGAAAGTCTCATTTCATATTTTTTCATTTTTAAAATACCACATGCAGGGCGCTCGAAAGATTTCTAACAACAAATCAAGCACCGCACCCTCTTTCAGCCATTTCCCAAACTCTCACACATACATCAAATATAAAGATAAAGCCCCGTTCCATATTTTTCATTTATAGGATACCATATAGGGCATCCGAAACATTGTTGTTAACTAATCCCACCATCTATTAAATTTTGACTCAATTATCAAAACTATTGATAAAATCTCAATCCTTATTCATGAAATACACAATAGCCAAAACATTATTATTCCAAAATCTATATGCATTTCTCAAATTCCCACTCAAATATCAAAACCATACCAGATAGAGCAAAATAGAAATCATTCATTGGGTGATAAGTATGTAATTATACCAATAAAATCAAAAACAACATAGCAATTCCACAAACCGAATAGACCAAAACCCAACTGAAATCGCAAAGCATAAAGCTTCAAAATCATAAACCAAATTCATCATGGGTGTAGCATGAAACATCAAAATCATCAACCGAGCATATCAAACCGAAAACCATCAAACCAAGCAAACAGAGAAATTAGGGAGAGGAAACCAATAACAAAATCAAGAACCATTGCACAGTAGCATTTGCATAATCATAAAGCCACCGAATAGATAAGACAAGATTACCGTAACAGATGGGAGTGTAACAGAGGGGAGAGGTAGAAGAGGGACTACAACATAGAGCACATAATACGCACAATTACCAAACCAAACAGAAGAAGAGAAGGGACAAAGAAAGAAAGAATAAAAAGCTCATCGCAATAACCACTAACCGAAGAAAGGGAACCATCACACAAAGCACAGAGTGCACAGAACCACCAAATCGAGCAGAAGATAGGAGAGGGAGAAGTATGTAAGGGTCACTAAAACAACCACTCGCAACCAACAAGAGGCAATCAGAAACAATGCCTACCATTGGAGCCACTGATTCAAGAAAGAGGTACCTAGGGCAAAAGAGACGCAAGAAAGGAAGCCACAGAGTCAAGAGAGGCAGAAGAAACATGAGAGAAGGACAAGGGGCCATAGGGTAATATGTAAGTGAAGAGACACGGGCCGTGGGATTGAACCCCGCAGCCGCGTTTTAACATAAATTATTTACAATTGCCGCCATGCCGTTGTTTCCAACTGTTTGAATTCACATTTTCAAAACGCACCGCACAAAAAAAAATTGCCCCGAAACGGGCCCTTAAAGTGGGATTTAAATCTGGATTTACAGGATTTACTAAAACTTTTGTAGACAACCCCTAAGAGTTTGCAGTGTTAACTGGGAAGAAGGTTATTTCTACTGGATAATTTGTATTAAGGTATACTTTTGGAATGGTAAAGGAGATGACTATAGAATTTTTTCACCAAACTTAACAGAAATAAATGCTAATGATTGAAGATATTTCTTAATCTGTAAAATCCATATTTTTATTCTTTCTGTTTGTAATATTGGGCTGGTTAGTGTAGCTTTGTAACATATTGTTTTCTATTTGGTTGTAGATTGCTGACATTGGCCTGTCACGATGTCTTTGGACCAGCTTGTACCACTTATACACGGTCTTCCGGATGACCTTGCTATTCTTTGTTTGTCAAGGGTCCCTCGGCAATTTCATCATGTTCTTCGATTTGTTTCTAGGAGATGGAGAGCTTTGCTCTGCAGCGGGGAGTTTCATGCCTGTCGTTCTAGGCAGAATCTTAGGGAAACCTGGGTTTATGCATTGTGTATGAACAAATACAGAGTTAACTGCTGTTATGCGTTCGATCCATGTCCTTTGATCCGGCAATGGAAGCTTCTAGAACCTATCCCATATGAATGTATTAGCCGGGAGGGCATGTCGTTTGAAGCCCTTGGAAATAAATTGTTTTTGTAAGGTGGCTTTAGCTGCCAAGAAAATGCCACAGATGAAGTTTATTATTATGATACTTACACAGAGAAATGGGAGAAAGCTGCTAGAATGCCAACAGCAAGGTATCAACATCATCGATTCTTTTATGATGTACTCTGATTTAATATGTTTATTGTTAAGGGTGAGCAATATTTGGTCAAAACCAAAAAAAAGAACAAAATCGGACCTAGCAAGTTTGGTTGATTCTATTTAGTGTCAAAAATGCATTTCTATATTTGTTTTATTTTTAAAACCTCAATATGTTCTTTTCGCTTATTTGTTTGGTTTTAGTTTCATTTAATCAAAATTTAAAATTTTATTAACATTTCTTCTTCTATTTTAATTTCTTTTGAACAAATCTAAAAAACTAAATTTTGTGTTGAAATAAATGGTGATTAATAAAATTGAATTGATATTATACATGTAGAATATGTAATTCTTGATGTTTGTTCATAATAGAGCTCCAACTAACAATCAATTTTTTATTTTTTTATAACCAAACTTTTTAAACCGAATTAAATTTTTGGTTAGTTTGGTTTTATCAAAATTTCAATGGTTCGGTTTTTTTGGATTTTGAAATTTGGTTTCAAATAGACTGACGTTCATATACCACTACAAAAACTGACCAAATGCTCATCATCTTTCAGGTGCTACTTTTTGTCGGCAGCTCTGGACGATAAAATTTATGTTACCGGTGGTCTCGGCATGAGCTCAGCTGCTTCAAACACCTGGGACATCTATGACCATCATTCAAACAGCTGGAGTTCTTATCAAGATAAATCCCACATCCCTGACATTGTCAAGTCCTTCATTTTTGAAGGCAAAGTATACACCATTCACAACACGTGGATCGATAGGCAATATGCCCGTATCTACTATCCCTTGAGCAGAAAATGGGAGGATGCAAGCCAACAGATGTCTTTCTGTGCTCGTGGTCCCACGGTTGTAGTTGAAGATACCCTCTACATGCTAGACGAGACTTATGGAACGAGGCTTATGAGGTGGGAAAATGAAAGTAAAGAATGGACCCCTTTGGGTAGACTGTCTCAAATGCTGACAAAGCCGCCATGTCAGCTTGTGGGTGTTGGGAGTTGTATTTTCATGATAGGGCAGAAGCTGAGTACTGTTGTGGTTGATATTAGGAGGGCAGCACAGGTGGAAGGTGTGCTGGTTGGTTCTTCTTTTATTCCTAAAGTTGATAATGATGTATCAGTTATTGGCTGCAAATCTATTGCCATTTGAGTTGTAGATCTTCAAATACTGTGACCTTTGAGGACTGCTTTTAGGATTGTATGTGATTATCTTGCAAATGTATGCATAGACTAATAGAGAGATTGTTGAAACAAAACCATATCAATTTTGGTTTGAAACAAAGAATGCAGAGTGGTTTGTCTATTAATTTATTCTGATGGGCAGAATGATGAATCGAAACTCGTGGATTCTTCACTTTGTTGTCAAACAATGCAATGCGTGTTCAAGCTCATCTTGAATATCATTGCCTTTGCTCCAATGCTGTCAAATTACTATTTGAGATCAAAGAGAGGCATATCTCTTCAATTTTTAATATAATTTGGCATCAGTTGCTAACAATTTGCTTATCCACTGCCAAATCTTGCTGCTTTTTGTTTTTTTTTTCTATTTTTCCACGTACCATTTCTAAGAATATTATGGTTTTACAGCTTCCTCACTGGAATATGTTCATGAGGTTCTATGGTGCTACAGCCATGTTGATGTGTTTGTCCAGTGGTGTGATTGAGAGAGTAATAATAATATTCTTGTCGAAAATATACATACTTGACAATTCTTATGTGTTTTCATATATAATATTTAAAGTTTGATATTTGCATATGTAAACTATGGGCGACATAATCATAATGAAAAATATACATGAGGACATGATGTATTTCACTTTTAAAAAATTAATTTTAGTAATCTTTTAAATTTGATTTCAAAGAGTTGAATTTTATATTAATAAACCTTTAAAGTTTAGTTATTACATTTCTATGATCATAAGAATATCTGACATTTAAAGCCCCTTACTTTTTTTAATATATTGTATATTCTCCATTATCTTTTGATGGTACATAACATGAGCTTATGTATTTATATATCTAACATCTATTAGACAACTTGGCATTTACATACCACATAATTCTTATGTATTTATACACACATGCATGTTAGATAAATTTTTAACATCACCTAAAAAAATTCACTATCTTTCTAAAAGTGACCCAGTTTCATAATTTATAACAGATAGCTGTTATAAGTGTAAATATCAAATTGTGCATGTTCGATACCCGAATACATAACACTTGTGTGCTATGTATGTAAATTTTCTTGCATGTAATATGAATGCCATCTGTATTAATCCTGCCGGCTTCCATGTCATGTCAGTCCTCAGCCATCCAGAGTAGCAGTTCTCTGGTTTTCCATTGATTTAAATTCTAAATTCACTTCTGCCATATCATTTTCTTTAATATTATTTCCTGCATTTTATCACTACTAAATTCCAAATCTTTTGACATCACAATGACACTATTGAAATGAAATTATACAACTCATCCACATTATAAAAAATAAATCAGATATAATATTCAGAATAATCGAACTTATATGCCCACTTGCTCATCATATTACAAAAAATAGATTGATAATGCAATTCAATCGTGACTGCTTAACATTATACACCAACTCTAATTCTGCTAAAATCTCAGCAAAAAAGAGAAACATTTGTAGGTGCAACAAACAATTCTGCACAAGAAACAATTATCTTAAGTTTTTTTTTTTTTTTTTTAAGCAGCCATTGTTTACACAGACAGTTAAAGCCACATGCTCCAGCAATCCAAAAATTAAGCTTTGCAGCAAAAATTACTATTTCTTTCTCCTCTTGAAAGGAGAATGTATGTCTACATTATTCTGTTCTAGTTTGTTGATTCTTGCAAGGCAGTCATTCAATCTCTTTAAGATGAAGGGCGCCTCAGTCATGCTGCTCATTGCTTTCTTCTTGAGATCGTATAATTTTTCAAGCTCCATTTCTCCAGCTTCAGAAAGTGATGATGAGCTGCCAGTTAACTCTGACTGAGGCCCTTCTGCAAATAAATAAAAAATGTGGGTGCAATATAGAAGAGACGTAATAGTGATGTATGAGGGACTTTGTTTCTTTCTTTCTTTAAGTAATGTTGGAAAAATGTAAACATAAATGTGCAAGAGAGCAGAAGGGATTGCCTAATGTTTTTAAGGGCATATTGAGAGAAAGAACATTTATTTAGAAGCCAATGAGTAATATAGAAATTTTTCTTTTTGAAATTTCTTTTAGCTATCAGATTGTAGCAAATTTATCTAATAATAAAAAGGTGCACATTACAGAAATTTCTGAAAAGCATCTAAAAATCTGTAGCCAAACATCATATTAAGCTTTTTAAAAATAACAAAAGCTATAGAAAAGCTTTGCCAGACGGACCGTTAATAAAAAAGGATATATGGAAACTATGCCAAACAATACAAAGGAAGATAATAGACAACAAGCATTTGCATGTGAAATAGAATCTGCTATTGGTCATTAGCAACAGATCAAAAATCCTTATAATAACACATTCATACCAAACGAATTACATACTTTTTGTTCCTTCGGAAAATTTACTTGAAAAGTCCCATGTAATATATATACCAAATGCTAATGATTACTCAAATTAGTGGGCAATATGGCACTATGAGAAGCTAAACTGATGAAATACACACAAGCTGCAGCGAATCCAGTTAAAGGCTAATTAATCAGCAGCTTGGAATCTACGTAGGTGGAGAATTATAACATTAAATTTGATGGCACTATGAGAAGCTAAACTGATGAAATACACAAAAGCTGCAGCGAATCCAGTTAAAGGCGAATTAATCAGCGGCTTGGAATCTACGTAGGTGGAATTTCAAATAAGTCAAACCTTGCGGATAAAAGCCAGCAAGAGTTTCTAAGAATAAATATACTTTTTCTGTGGATTAAAAATGTTAGTTCACAAGTATTAAATGGGCACCGACAGTGCTTTCCACAACACAAAGCCTACCAAATAAGTTACAGACATATCTTAGGCGGAAGGCTAAAGTGCAATTTAGTCATCTGTTAGTTATTATTATTTGGTATAAATAAGGCTAAATATGATTTAGAGTTAGGATATGCTATTTTTGACTGGAATCTTAGAAGTTAAAGTTTGGGAGAGATCGCCTATCTTTTGAATTATAGGTGTCTATCTTTTTTATGTATTTCGGATTATATTATTTTATTTGAACTGGTGCAATAGAATCTATTCCTTTTGCCATAATCGCTCCAGAAATTTATCTTGTTCTTATCAAATTGGTATCAGTGCTGAATCATTTGAGCAGCATTGTCCCATTCCTTCTGTGATTCACAGTTGCACTTCGCCTTCGCGGCTAAGCCTCGTGATACAGTTGTGATTTAAGGTAGTTGGGATGCCAACGATGAGATCACAACATACGAGATCCATCGCGCACGCCTTTGTGAATGAACCTCGTGATACAGTTGTGATTTGAGTTGGCTCGGAAGCCAAAAATGGGATCGTGGCATACAGGATCCATCACACACGGCTTCAAAACTGAACCTCAAGATACAATCTCCACTTCAGCTACTTGGGAAGCCAACAATGGGAACGAGGCGTACATGATCTATTGCACACTCCTTGGTGAGCAAACCTCGAGATACAAGCTTGCTGGGAAATCAATGACAGGATCCGTCACGCCTTCATGATAGAACCTTCCAATACAATCATGATTCAAGCTATATAAAAAGCCAACGATGAGACTGTCACAATACCTTCTTGACCTAACCTCATGATACAACCGCGATTCGAACTAGTTGGGAAGAACGACAGGATCGAGGCGTACAGGAGTTTCACCTTCATGATTGAAAACCGTTCGGGGAGTAATAACGACCAAGAAAGTATATGTTTTATAGGAGAAATTGGAGAGAGACGTGAGCCAAATCATACCTGAAATAAAAAAGTGTTTTTCATCAATAAATGGGCGGTTCTCATCCATAGAGGAAAGATTCATAAACATGGAAGAAATGATAATGAATATTGCAGAGTTTCACACAAGCTCGCCTCTACCTACAGTGGGATCAAGCGAAGGAATTGATAGTGAACTCGAGCGACAACACTTGGAAGGAATGATATGACATCCAGACTGCTGGAAGGAGCTGCAACTGGCATAATGTGATGACGTGCGATTCATGGCTGGAGAAGATTGATTCGAAGGATGTCGGTCTGGAATAGGAAAACCACAATGGGTGGGAATCTGGCTGAGGGCTGCATCCAACTATGCTAATGCCTTTTGTTGCGACAGCGTTCTACGCGGAAGGCAATTCAGGAGCATATGGGGTTTGGCAAATTGATTACGAGGCGAGCCAGCTTTATGGTAGAAAGAAAATAAATATGGGTCAAGGAGGAGAACCAAACCCCCGCTTCATGGAAAGAATATATGGGGTTTGGCAAATTGATTACGAGGCGAGCCAGATTTATGGTAGAAAGAAAATAAATATGGGTCGAGGAGGAGAATCAAACCCCCGCTTCATGGAAAGAATAAACTTCGATCAAGGAAATTGGAGAGGAGACTCATGCATAAGGAAGTTGAAGATGTCGATCTTTGAAGGAGAAGATCTATGGTTGGGTTTATCATGTGGAGAGATACTTTATTGTTAATGGACTGACAAAGAAAAAAATTGTTGGCAACGACGTTACGTTTGGAAGAGTGGGCTCTAACATGGTAACAATAGAGAAACAACCTCGGCTAATTAGAACGTACAAAGAATTCAATGACCGATTGTTGGACCATTTTGGAACCACTCAAGAAGGTAATTTACACCAACAATTTTTTTGCATTGGTCTAAGAATAGTTTGCCAAAGATTATAAGGAGTAATTTGAAATGTTATATGACCATTTGAGAGGGATATCAGAAGAAGCGTTGAAAGGAATTCATGAAAGGCTTGAGGTCAGAAATTCAAGGAGCGCTTAGTCTGTTGAGACTGTGAGGATTGGGAAAAATTATGGAATTAGCAAAATTGGTTGAAGATAAAAATGAAATGGAATGAGCTAATAGAAGCAACACAAGTGGAGTGTCATGCAGAAATGGTACAACTATGACGATACCAAAAACTCAAAAAGTGGGATCCTAGAGGAGGCTCCACGAGCTGGGAATGATGGGCCACGCCAGAGGCAACATTCAAAAGTCTCATAGAAACAAAGATTCAGGAGAAGCGAGCCAAGAAATTATGTTTTTGGTGTGATGAAATGTTTACCCCAAAACACCATTGCAAGACCAAACGATGGGGCATGGGATGAAGAAACAAAAAAGGTTGAGGTGGAGAAGGAACCTCCTCACTTAGATGTTGCATAAGTTTCATTAAACTCTATGGTGAGGTTAACACTGAACCACACTATGAAGCTTTAGGGACAGATCAGAGAACAAGATGTAGTGGTGTTTGTATATAGCAGGGCCACCCACAATTTCATCTTTACTCAAATAGTAAAGCAATTAGAGCTTGATATGATTGACACAGGAAG